AGCCAATAGTTGAGGTGGGTTGGAGTTTGAAAGCCGTGCGTTGGCAAGTCGCTTAATAGCTTAACTCAAGCCATGATTGAACCTGTAGGTTGGCAACCTACAGTCTTAGAGGTTTGCATCACTGGCACCACCAGCCAATAGTTAAGCTGGGTTGGAGTTTGAAGCCGTAGGTGGGCAAACTCTTGTCGCTTAACAGCTTAACTCAAGCCATGATTGAACCTGTACATGATTGAAGTTGTAGGTTGGCAACCTACAGTTTTGGAGGTCTGCATCACTGGCACCACGACTAGCCAATAGTTGAGCTGCGTTGGAGTTTGAAAGCCGTACGTTGGCAAACTCTAGGCTAGCTCAAGCCATGATCCAAACTACCTACAGTTTTCGAGGTCTGCATCACTGGCACCACTAGCCAATAGTTTGAGCTGGGTTGGAGTTTGACAGCCGTACGTTGGCAAAACTCTAGTCGCTTAACAGCTTATATAAATGAAGCCATGATTGAACCTGTAGGTTGGCAACCTACAGGTTTCTAGGTGTGGTTGTCTCCTGCAGATGGGTCAGAGTAGGGAAAGACGCTTGATATGTGGGTTGAATTGGCCTATTTTTCGAGGATCATTCCGCAGGCGGAGTGGAACTGAAATCAAGAGACTGAAATGAATCATAACAGACCCAAGAAAAAACACATCAACAAAAAAAACAAGGTAATTAAACAAATAACAAAAACAGTCATGTTGTTCGTTTGTCTTTCTTTGTTATATTGTTTAAATGAAGAGCCGTTGAGATGATTGGCAGACGCCCGACTGGATGGGCGGCAACAGAGGTTGAAGGACCCTAGTTCGACTATCCCAGTTGGGTACCCCAGTAGGGTCCTAGTTCAGGTCACTGGCTACCTCTCTTGGTAGGCCCATTGCCGAGAGCAGGAGGGCTGATGATGTTGGATCTGTCACAGCAGCAAGTTCTTGGTGTGACCACTCCTTTGTGTTTCGACGACTGGGTCGTCAAGCTTCTGCAAGCGGACCAACTGCAGGAACCTGGAAAATCGAATCTTCCGCTTGATGCAGAAACTCTAACAGGTCACTTGAGGCTTCTTGTTTCCACGGCTTCAGTTTTACCAGTATGGCCCAGTATGGCTGGTAATCAGTGGTTCCAGTTTGATCAGCCACAGACCGAACGAAGTCCTGGTTCCTGAAAAACCGTGTGGCCACAAAACAACATATCCTTTGGACAAGACAAAAGCAGGTGCCCAACCAAAAAGCGGCACCAACCCGGGCGAATTTCGCCGAAGCACCGAGCTGTTCCTGAGGCTTCAACCAGTCTTCCGCGCCAGCGGCCGCCCTGGGAAGTGTAGTAGCAAGGCTGGTGTTCGAATGGGTCACGCGAGCGGGATGCCTTGAGGCTGGAGACCCGTGCATTTCACAGGACGTACGGATACTAGCAAGGACTTAGATGGACCCGGGGTCGAATGGCACCCTGAAAGACTGTTGTCCTTTACCAACCAGTGGGTTTCAGGGTCCATGTTCGTTTTCAGCGGGGTATAGGTTATGCATGGCTTACTATGTGTTATCCTTATGAGACCTTTATAGGACCTATAAAGGAACGGCTATATATTGGTATATTCATAGGGCTGCTCGGCTGCTCAGCCTCTCTCATCCGATATGTCATCATCGATTGCTTAAGGAAAAGAGTTCTGCAGCATGCATGTACATTCAACTGTCAGATGTTATTGTGATGTTGCTTCTAAATGTGTGTTGTGGTACCAGGAGTCACAAAGGGGTGTCCAATGAAGTACCCCACACTACCTATAGACTTCCATTGGGCACCCCTTTGTGACTCCTGGTAGAAGTTCATGTCTTATGTTCCGCCGATCGATCTCCGATGCTCCACCGAACGGCCGAACGGCTTCCCAACCGATGCTGTGGGTACGAAGCGCCGCTTGAACGCTTCGGCATCTCCGTTGGAAGGAACAGCTGAATGAAGATCCGTTTCGGGTCGGATCAGCTGAAGATGTAGGTGAAAAGTCTTGGACTCACAACATGTATCTGAAGTTTTGTTGTGGTAATTTACTTATATGATTATAACCCATCAATGATAAGATAAGGATGCTGGAGTGGTATAGTACTCGTAACATGCATGACGTTCGTCGAACAGAATCCGAAACGATTTGCATGTCGAGTAGGAGATCCATGTGAGGCTGCTTATTGCTTCTGGATCAGCGGGGCCCAGTGGATGGCTGCCTTCCCCAACCTGGCAAACAAGCTATGGCGGTCCTCAACAGCTAGTGGAAACAAGCACCCAGAGCTGGTTTTGATCCCATCCCCCATGTTGTTGCAAAAACGAATAATTAGCTGCCTTTCGTGGAAGACCTTCTCCCAGCAGTCACAGAGCTCGGGGTGGTATTTAGTCCCTATAAGTGAGTGGATGTGACAGTGGCACCCCGACTACCTCCATGGAGTCCGCACCCCTTACCTTGTGACTGCCCTAGGGATCCAGTCGTACCTCCTCAAAAGGTACTTGGACCCTCCAAACCCACCCCAAACACCTTCTCAGAAGGTATTTGGATCCTTAGGGCTGCTGGTCCACTTTTTTTTTTCTCCCCTGCTACGGTGATCACCACATCGAACACGTTAACGCATCGGACCCCCCGCATGGCCGCCCGTGTCGCACCCGGATTTGGCCGTGTCGCAGGAGTTAGACACCTTATTGAGTTGCCTCGCTGATGCGGGCGAGGAGGCGGGGACAGATATTTATCCTTTCAACAAGCAGGGTGGTGAGGGTGGTGGTGTTCAGACCATCAATGGGAACTACAAAACGAAGAGAGTCCAGGTGGATGGGGATGTGAGATGAGTGGATGGGAAATTTGAGGTACCATGGTTCATTCGATGGTAAAGGAACAGTGGACTAAAACATACATAACACCATTGATGACTCAAAGACACGCGTCCGCATATATATATATATAGTCTTAAAAATAAAACAATTCTTCAAGCTTTTAATAACTGTTTAAACTTGGTATAATTTTGAAACTTGTTTCTTATATAAAATCATTGCTACGTGCACCCAAAGAAGAATTCCATCCCCCCACGCAAACATTGGGCGCTTAGCTCAGATCCTGCTTTGCACTCGGAGAACCTCCGAAACCCCCGATCAGGCTCCGGACCGGCTGCTTTATTGGGCTCGCCGCCAGACGCTCAAGGCACTGGATCCCGGAGCAGCCGGAGCGTACGTAGGCCGAAGGTAGACATGAAATACCCAGACAACCATTCCCTACTTGTAGAAGTCGTGGCCCACCATTGTTTTAATAGCCGGGTCATCCCGAACCACCATTGTTTTGCTAAGGGTTTTACGCTACAAAACCAGATCAACCATTTTAAAGAAATGATCGACTTGACTTCCAGGGCATTCTCATGGCAGAAGGGCTGAGAAGGGCCCGGCCGGATTCTTAGGGTTTTCGGACCCCGAAAGTAGACCGGTGGACTTGGACAGGAGGATTGTCGTCCGTGAATTTGGCTTGCTGGGCGGACCGCGTTCGCTTTGTTGGTTGGGGCTTGGCGTGAAGTATTCCACACCCTGCCTTGCTCGGAATAGGTTAGCATGACCTGCCCTCTGTGGCATGGACTGTCTGCAAGTCGTGCTATCCAATCTTACAGATCCAGCCATGAATGCAGAATCACCAAGATTTGGGATTACCAAAAAGGCATGGTGGATGGGTCAACCCCAGAGACTCCGTGGATGTAACGCATGGGAGAGTCGCACCGATCAGGTTGGGGTGGTTGACTTGGAGTCTTCGGTCACAGATCCCAGGCAGTTGGGCAACTAAGTCTCAGAATCCCAGGCAGATCCCGTCCCTGCAGTGCTGTGTTCCTTTTTTCCACTGCACTTGTCGGTGTTCAAGGCTCTTTCCTTTCGGCGGGTCTGAAGATCTCATGCGTCCAACGGGCTTAGCCGGAGAAAGGCGCCCAAGGAGTTGGACCCTGATGAACAATGAACATGATGACCAGGTGAAACAATGTCCTCATATCAAATTGGGTATTAAAAATGGTAGAAAGGTGAATCCATGATTGGCGCACCACCTTATTGAGTTCTTCATGTCATGGACTTGTAGCTATCAGCAGATGAAACAAATGAATTGAGTTCTTGACGCAGCAAGCAGAGGCAGTCTTGGCCTCTAAGTACCCGAACAACCATGGACCATGGTATTGCTGCCTGTGTGGTTCCTGCAAAAACAAGACTAGCGGTGACTAGCGGCAAGAATTGGGGATGGTGTTGAACAGGCGGATGGCTTACGTCGCCTGTGTTCCCTTGATTGATTACCCAACTACCATAACAATGTTCAAGGGGGTATGAGTTGCCAATTGCCGGCAATTAGCATAGCCCTGCAAAAACCGAATTTGCGAGGGATTGATGGATGATTTGACGGATTTCCATGGAAGTGGCTGGTCCTCCCCTGTTGATGTAGAGAAAACACTTGAGTCACCAGGGAGCGCTGAAGTGAAACAGGAGGATGCGAAGTGAAGAACATTGGAAAAAAGCAATCTGAGCACTCACGGTTTTCGAAGACACTGCGAAGTGAAAATGATATATTTGTTCGAAGACAGTAGGAAGTGTGTTTTCATGTTTCTCGGATTCCTTTTTTCCCAACTCGCCGCGTACGTCGCAGGGTATGATACCACGATACCACGTGCGCACGTCGTCTGTCACAAGGGAGGTATTTTCCAGGAATCGGTTCCAGGGGATGATAGTTCGCCAAGAAAATATGGTTCAGGGAATGGCAGTGTGATGAGTAGGGAACGGCCGACTCTTGATTCATAAACCCTCCCCATATGAACCATATGAAGAGGATGTTTCCACTTCAATTCTGCAGAGGGGGAATGGTCATTAATCAAGAGTCTACTTCGAGAGATCAGCCTTCCTGTCGGGAGCAGAGTGTTCCTGACCACTTTATTGAGCACATGACGGTGGTTCGATGTCCAGTGGCGTTTGTGCATCAAGTTCGAACATCATTGCAGTAGCCCTTGGCTACTAGAACGCACCAACCCTCCATGAACGGATTTCTTGAAAGTAAAGGTGAAGCAAATCAGGTCCCAACCTGTGCGTCCCAATCACGTCAAAGGTCAACAGTTCAGAGGTTCCATTAGGTTCCAAACCCTGTTGGGCCTCAGAAACCGTGGAATTTCGAGAGCTTTTGCTCAAGCCCATCGGTTCAGGGTCCGAGCTCCTTGCAGCTCTTTCATCCGCCCTCCGTGGCGACTCCAGGCGCGCGGTGGCCTCGCGAGCTTGCTCCAGCGGCTGCTCTCCAAGGTCTTAAGGCAGTCGCCACCTCTCTCGCCGTGTGACTCTGGTCAGACCACCGGTCAGACTACCGCATGGAGTTGTTTTTGGTTCCTTTTTTGGCAATGCATCGTTATATTATACCTCCAATGAACTGCCAACCATTTGATCCTGTCGCCCTTTTTCCAGGAGCCACTGAAAAAAACTGGTCATGTTGTGTTGTTGAGAACGTAATTCATTGAACAGTGAAGTTTGGAGCTGCAAAGGACTTCGGAGCTTGTAAGGGTCCTCAAACATGTTCCCAAAAATGTGCTCCCGAGAAACTGTGGGGAAATCTATTTTATTTGGGGAAGGCATCATATTAAAGTTATTAAGGGTCCCATGACCCCCACCAGCCAGATTTTGGGGCTGGTATCAAATTTTGTGCAGATGAGTGACTTGAGGAGGAAGCCATGCCGTGCGTTTGTTGAATCATGTTGAATCACTCGGCTTCGGTCTACCAAAAACTGTCAGCAAGCTATGCAGAGGGCCGACTTGCTTGAACGAAGAATGGACATGTTTGACAGCCTACAAAGATGGCTTCCGTGGCTGGCGAGCTGGGACTTTAATTCCTTTAGCTCGTATTGACAGCTTAACTACCCAACCCCAATACTGTTTCTACATGGTTTGTGCTGAGATTTGTTTGCTACTCGAAAACTGCGGGCAGTAGACACACTCCCTTCACCTGCACGTGGGGGTCGGCTGGTCCTTCTGGTGCTTCGCCCACTGCATGGTGGTAACCTCACTCATGCACAAGCGAAATGCCTCTTTTTCATGGAAACTCCTAAACGTCCACTCGAGAGATATGCATGCGGCATGCGTGTTGGAATAGGGAGACCCCAGTGGAGACCCCCAGAGACCCCCTGGAAGAAGCTAAATAGATCCGCCAACCCAGCCAGGTGATCGGGGTAATTACCCGATTGAAGTCAACACCCAGAATCGACCGCGCACACTTTAAAACCAAAAACACTTGATGGCTGCGCTCGTTTGCTCGGTATGTTTTGAAATGACAAACAAAAGGACAAAGCATCGCAGTCGCATCTCAACCCACTAGACCAAACGAGGCTTCCTGCAGCCAAATATATGCATCATCGCTCTTCCTTCGGACCTCCTCCGCACCGAAGGGGTCTCCTCGCCACGAGGGACCCTGCGAACCCCCCAGCGCCAGGCCGAAGCTCGCGGCGGCGCAGGCTGCCTTGAAGTCGGCGCCTGGCGAAGGAGCGGAAGGCGTCGACTTCGGCAAGTCGGGGGCCCCGAGAGACGACGAGCCGCCGCAGCGGCGGAGGGTTGGTTCCAGCGGCGGAGGGGCGCGTCGGGGGGGGTGACTTGGAGGGGGCGGAGGGGGTGGCGAGGCAGAGGTTGGGAGGAAGGAGGTGAGAAGCTGGAGGACCCCAGTGGCCCCGGGATTCTCTAAGACCCAGTGGCCTGGTGATTTCCAAAAACCGAGTGAGGTTCAAGAATCATGGCTGTGTGGATGGCTTACTGGATTAGACCTCATAGCAACCAGTTGTGTGCTCCAGTTGTCCAAGTTCTCTATAATTAGATCACCCGCTTGGGCTTTCTGTTTAAAGAACGTTCTGAAACCTTCGAATGATCCGAATGAGCTCCCTGAACTCCCCTTAGTTGAGGTTCTCACACGGGGTCGACACAAAAGGGGTACAATCGACTCAAAGCGCGTTGGGTCTTTGCATTGAAGATTCTTCGAGCACTCTCCAAATCTGGAGGATGCCCTTTTCCACTCCCTGGCTGAGTTTTTTTTAATCTTTTTTTCGTTTGTTGAACTCTGTCCTGGCCCGGGCCCACATCCACTAGGCTAGCGAGCTTGTGCGAAGATGCTTTGAGGCGAGGGAAAGGTGGTTCCAGCCACCAAGTCAAAGCAGTTGAGAAACAAGGGACCAAGCCACTCCCCACACAGACATGACTCCCACCTATTCTTAGTTGTGGGTTTATTATTCCAAGAACAACATGAAACGCGTTGCTTTGGGCGCTCCTGTTGACAGGTGAGAGTAACTTAAAACTCCGCAGTCCTCAAAGTGTTTGTTGACTCGGTGGATTGTGGGGTCACTTGATTGGAACGTCTTCCCAAGCTGAACCGTGTTGAAAGATTGATTTGGGGGGAGAATGATTCTGCCCAAGGGTGGTAATACTTTTTGCTCCGGAAAGGGAGCTGTTGACCTGGCCTTTGGTTGGAAAGACGATTCTGTACTAGCAACTATATATACCCTAGGCTTCAACGGTGAAGTTTAACTTCGTCTTTAACAACGACCAAGTTTGACTAAGTAAAACATCGTCTTCACTCAAAGACTAAGTATTACCTTGACCGCTTTGGGTCCAATGACAGCCACTTGGTGGTTCAAGTGGGCTTCGGATGAAGAAAGCGCTAAGAAAAAGTCGGCTTCTCAGCTTTTTTTCCCTCTACGAAGCTCGATTAAGCTAAGTTCAGCTCTGGTCAGTGTGTCCCAGGAACATGGGGCGGTGAAGCTTACGAAGGTGCCACTCTCTCTCTCTCTCTGCTGGTTTTCTGAGTTCACTCTTTGAAGATCTTTGAAGGACCTTTGAACCGCTAGTTGATCAATCGTCTTTGTTCAACCTTTGAATTGAGACATCTCGAGACTTACCGAAAACGGTCCACTGGTTCAAGTGGTGTTTGCTGGCAACGCCCCTTGTTCCGCACTCTCAGCTGGCACGCCATGCCGGCATCAAAGCCTGACCCAGAAAGAGTCGCTCTTTTGAAGGCCAGGAATGTGAAGTCGCATCAATTGGAATAGATTAAAAGTAATGAACACATACCATGATCGTCGGTGCAGGATTTTTACAGGGAAATTATGGAGGACGATGGATTCCGTGAAAGACGATTCCTTGATCTGGGTCGGAGGGAAGGTCTACCCTCGCACAAGCTGGAGAAGGCCATCAACGAAGGGAAGGTGGGCCATAAAATTAAACATATTGTGACCATGGTAGCTAGTGATCGACCGGATTATCCTACTGCCATTTTTTCTTTTGGCGAGGTGCCTGACGTGACCTTCAGCTTTTTGGATCTGAGCCCCAAAAGAGGTTTGGACGAAAATGCGGTGAGCCTGACCAGTTTGATCAAAACCTTTGTTTTCCATGACCTCTTCAATGAAACTCGCTACCCACACAATGCCAGATCCAGACTACGAACAACACTAACTTTGCAATGAGCTGGTTGCCTACCTTCGCACTCCAGCCACCAACCGAGAAGGAAACGAAGGCTCGGTCTGATATGGTGAGTCTGATCTTCGTGGGACAATTCGGTGTGCTTGCTGTGTATGCTACAGGGCCGGACTACATGTGTATTGAAAGTTTCAATATTTTAAATATTGTTGAGATTGTGGGAGGAGGTGTTGGTGACCGTCGCGTTGGATTGGAAGTTGGTGGACTGCAAAACCACAGATGTAGAAGCCACGGGCCTAGACAGCCAGCACCTAAACAAACTTATATAAAGCACTGCCGAGAAACCTGAGGATTGGGCAGAAACTGAGGGAAACCTTCACAGGAGTCTGGCGAGCAAGATAATTGCCAGACATGGTCGTTCGACAAAGGGGAGGCCTGCTCCGCTTCCACTGTTTCCAATATGTTCAATATATTTTTGTTTAAAGGTCACCTCCTAGATCCTCAAATCAAGAACCAAGCACAGGAGAAGAGATAGTAACATGACAAAGCTCAAAGCCCTCATTTCAATGATCTACGAGGACACTGCAGATTCTTTGTGATCCTCATGTTAGCGAACTGTTTCTTACATGTGTGATGAGTTCTTCTGCATTAGGAAGCTGGAGTGGTGAAGCGAACGCGATCCATCAGACAGCCACAAGTATCCCCACAGCTTGGAACAGAGGCCGGTGACACTAGAACTTTTACTTTACAAAACACTCGAGTAAGGAAAGTCTATGATGTAAAACTTGGTTGTTGTTGAAGACGAAGCTAAAACTTCACCATTGAAACCCTGGGATCATGTGTTTTGGTTGAACGTCGTGTTGCAACGTTCCGGTCTAATTCTAGAGAAATTGTGCCCCGAATCTTCAACAGGATCAGAAGCCAAACAAGGTTGAAGATGAGACAAAAGAAGAGGACTATGACGTAATAGTGGAAGAGGAAGAAGAAGAGGAAACATTCACCGAGGATGAGGTTTTGGAACCGCAAGAAGCCGACAAAAGAAGGACCAGGAGAAGAAGGCAGGAGAGGAGAGAACTGAAGCAAAGAAGGCAGAGGAAGAGAAGAGAGCTCAGGAAGCAAAGAAGGCAGA